GAAGACCGAAAAGGCGCAAATGACAGACTCCGTCAACCACCTAAGGAAAGTCACAGATTTTGATCTCTTCGGGCCTTCTGGAGGCCCTCTTGGAGGCCTCTTGGGCCGTCTGAGGGACCTCTTGGGGGCCTCTTGGGTCGTCTTGAGCCATCTTCGAGCCATCTTGGGTCGTCTTGGTGGGCTCCTGTCCCATCTGACGCCGTCGGAAGCCGTCTTGGGGGCCTCTCTGGGCCGACTGGGGGCCCTCTTGGGGTGTTGCAGGCCCGTTTTGGAGGCCATCTTAGGCGCCTTGGAGGCCTCGTGGGCCGTCTTGGGGCCCTCTTGGGATCGTCTTGGGGGCCTCTTGGGCCGTTCTGGGGCCATCTTGGAGGCTTCTAGGGCGATCTTGGGGCGATCTTTGGAGGCTCTTGGGACGTCTCGGGCCGTCGGAAGGACAAACAAAATGCAAGTGCCCAAATTCGTCAAACACCAAATGGAAATCCATGATGTTGTTCTCGTCGGGCTTTCCTGGAGGCCCTCTTGGAGGCCCCTTGAGCGGTCTTGGAGACCTCTTGGGAGCCTCTTGGGCCGTCTTAGGCCATCTTCGAGCCATCTTGGGTCGTCTTGGTGAGCTCCTGTCCAGTCTGACGCCGTCGGAAGCTGTCTTGGGGGCCTCTCTGGGCCGACAAGGGGCCCTCTTGGGGTGCTTCAGGCCCGTCTTGGAGGCCATCTTGTGGGTTTTGGAGGCCTCGTGGGCCGTCTTGGGGCCCTCCTGGGCCAGCCTTGGTGGCCTCTTGGGCCGTTCTGGGGCCATCTTGTAAGCCTCTGAGGCGATCTTGGGGCGGGCGATCTTTGGGGGCTCCTGGGCCGTCTCGGGCCGTCGGAAAGCCGACAAGAATCAAATCCGAGAATCTTCCAAAAACCAAAGAGAACTCCATGATTTGGTCTCTTCGAGCCTTCCTGGAGGCCATCTTGGATGCCTCTTGGGCCGTCTTGGAGGCCCCTTGAAGGCGGCCTCTTGGGCCGTCTTGGGCTATTTTGAGGCTAGCTTAGGCCGTCTTGGGTGCATCTTGGGCCGTCTTGGAGGCACCTTGGGGGGCAATCTTAGCCGTCTTGGAGGCCATCTTTGCCATCTTGGAGGCATCTTGGAGGTCATCTTGGGCCATCTTGGCCGTCTTGGAGGCGACTGGGGCAACCACCCAGGCATTATGAGCACCCTTCCAGGTCCTTCCAGGTGGCCGGCGGGACGGGCCTGGGCCCCAGGGGAGAGTTCTTTGGGAAAAAGAGCCAAAACCCAAACCGAAAGGATCCAGCACGCCAGGCATCCCTGTGGCAAGCCTACAGGAGGCGGCGGATCGAATGGCCTTCGCCCCATACCGCCACCGTGCCTGGGTTGAGGGTCTGAGGCCTTTCGGATGGCCTTTGGGATCTCGTCGAGGCCTCTCGGGTGCCTCCTGGAGGCAGTTTTGATGCCTCTAGGGGGCCGTTTGGGGGCCTCTTTTGGGCCTCTCGGGGCCTCTTGGGGCCTAGTGGGGGCCTCTTGGGGATCTCTTGCGGCTTCTTGGGGGCCTCTTGGGGCCTCCTGGGCGCCTCTTGCGGCGGAGGGCTCGGATTTTCGGTCCGTGTTTTCCCTCTTAGGTCCCTCTTGGGCCGTCTTGGGCGCCTCTTGGGCCGTCTTGGGGCCCTCTTGGGCCGTCCGGGGGCCCTCTTGGGGGCCTCTCGGGCAGTCTTGTGGTGGTCGTGGGGGCCTCTTGGGCTGTCTTGGGGCTTCGGAGAGCCGAAAAGGCGAGAAGGCCAACAGCTTCAAACACCGAAGGGAACGCAATTCAGTTTACCTCTCTGGGTCCTCTCGTGAGGTCCCTTGGAGGACTCTTGGTGCATCTTGGAACGATCATTGGGGGTCTCGGGGCCCTCTTGGACCGTCTTGGGGGCATCTTGGGGCCCTGTTGGTCCGTCTTGGTCCCTCATGCGAGAAGATGTCCCATCGCCCAGGGGAACCGCGCGAAGCCCAAGAAGATTTGATAATTTGGTGTCTGGGCTCTTATTGACTCCTCAGGATTGAGGTCTGGGGCGTAAGGGATTAGGCAAAGGACCTGAGGACAAACCCACCCCGTGCCCAGCAACGCGGTGGCGGATCTGCAATTTATTCTGTGTAATGTTGGAGTGTTGGGCCCCCCGTACACTTTGTGGCACACAATAACAAATGGGCCCCCCCAGGGCTGGGGTACCGAATGTGGACCCGGGGGCCTTGGGCTCGTTTTCGGTCCTTCGCGGGGCTCTTTCACCCCCGAGAGCGCTCCAAGAGCACCCGCGATGGCCTCCAGACGGCCTATCAGGCCTCCAAGACGACCCAAGAGCGCTCCAAGACCGCTCAGGATGGCTTCAAGACTGCCCAGAAGCCCCCCAGAACGTCCCAGAGTGCCCCAAGAGTACCCTCAAGAGGGCCGCAGGATGTCCAAATCGTTCCATTCCTAGTGGCCAGCGTGGACCCCAAACAGTGCGATTCTAGCAACATCTGTTGTGCAATTTCTATGGAGCAGTCCATGTAGTGCATTCTACGTGGTGCAATCTATGTTGTACAACCGATGTTGTGAAATATATGACGTGTAATCCATGTTGTGCAATAGTTGTGAGGTCACATGTGTGGTGCAATGGGTGTGGCGCAATTAATTGTGAAGATCTTAGAGTTGTCAACTCCACTGCTCGCGCACTCACCCCACCCACACGCCCACAACTTGGTTTGCAAAACCCATGCGGCGGCGATTGCGATGAGTGCTTGGCGCTGGCTGGCCTATCTCTGCGGCCGCGCTGGCGCGCGCATGCTCGCGCGCACAGCGGCCAGCAAGTTTGGCACAACTGACGCGGCCGCGGCGGTGCGCACCGGTGGGGACCTCCCATGACGTCTCACATGCCGCGCTGGCGCGCGGGTACTTCACTACGAGTCGGTGGTTCGGGCGGGCGCAGTATCATGGCGAAGGCGACAACGGCGGAAACGATGATGATGGTAGCGATGGTGGTGACGATGATGACGATGACGACGGCAAAGGCCAATGCCGGCGCCGATGTTGGTCACGCCGATGACGATGACGACTGCCGCCGCGTCCGCCGCGCTCGCCGCCCTTGTTGAAACTTTGGGCCTGGGCGGGTGCGCGTGCAGAGAGTCCTCTCCTCTTCCCTTCGAGCCTCCCTTTTCCCTGATGTCGTCCACCTCGTCCTCGCATCGCGTCTCTCGTCTTGGGGTCTCCCGCATCCTGTTTTGTTTTGGGGATCCCATCGGGACTTCATCAAAGCAGGGGCCTCTCCAGCCTGGCAGAGTGCGGTTGTCAAAACACTCGCGGGGTGTGTGGCTCACGAGCGCCAGCCTCCATAGGGATGTCCAGGAAGCTTGCTGTTTCAGGTGTGCGCAGTGTCGAGATGAGATGTCTCACCATGTTCGTTGCCCAGTTCTGTGGGGCCCCGCTTACCATCCCGAGCAGCCTGAGTATTTTGCCTCTCGTCTGGGGCTCAATGGGGATCCCACCCCCGAGGCCGGAGAGAATTGCGCGCGCATGCTGCATGTGCAATGTGATTCGCACACCTGCTGAGCCTAGCCCTCAGGCGTCGGAGAAGGAGTTGGCCAACCACCACTGTGCAATTCGCCGTGCTGCACAGGCACTGGTTGATCATTCACGCGCGCCCTTCTAGGCCCGTCTGGAGTCTTGTGGCGCCCTTGCGCGAGATATTCATGCGCGCTTCTCCGAGGGAGTACAACTCAGAGTCGATTGGAAGAAGCTGAGCGGTCCCGCGCGCGATATTTCTGGTCGTTCCGTTCGGGGCATGTTCAACATTCCGACGATCGGGATCGCGACGCCAGGGACAACAAGCACAACATTTGTTCATTCATCGGACACAAAACAATCAACAGCGCAACGGATTTCAATGTGTTGTGCGCGGTTCCTTGACAAATTGCCGTTTCGCGTGCGGCATCCTCCCAAAACATTGAAACTCTACGTATTTCAAGCTGGCCTCGTATTCTCCCAGACGGCAGTTTCGCTCGAAGCATTCTCCCAAGATTGGCACTGCACGGTCCTTTCATCTGCAATCGCGAGGTGTGACACCCTCCATCTGTGCCACACTTACCCCAAGGTCCACCGGCATTCGGTTACGATCCCGCTATTGACCTCATTCCCAATAGCCACCTGGTGATCCAAGTCTACTCTTTCGCTCCTTGTCCTCTGCTTCTTAATCTCCTGATTCCTTATTTGATATGACATCGTATTCCTCTTCTTGTCCATCTTCCACGACGAGCCCGTGCATGCACGTATCGTTTCTATACATCCAGCTGTCTGAAGCAGCACTTGGCGTTCTACCACGACTGAAGGTGCCAGGGGGTACGGTGCCGGATACTGTCGCACTACCCTGGCAATGGCTTGATTGACGGTCCGTTCCGCGTACGTCCGACCGACCGACCGACCTTTTCCTCATGACATGCCAGCGCAAGCCTCGAGACCACGGGCGCCCGCGCTAGCGCCTGTCGCTTCCGCGCTCCCAGGGGTCGAGGGCCAACCATCTCTCCTAAGGGGGGAAGCAGCAGCATGGCAATGGGAGTTCTCTCCTCCCTCCTCCCCAAGCACCCGACATCGTGTTCTTTCTCACTGTGGTTCGCCAGAGGTCGGCACCTGTTTCCCAGGACTGGCCCCGCATCCCGAGTCCCAGGGCCCGTAATTAAAGGCCCTTGGAGGCTCAATCATGTCCAGAAACCGCTTGTCGCGTTTTCGCGACGCGAGGGGGTCTGGGCCTTCCCCCTTCTGCACCACCTCCCTCTTTCGGGAGGGCCGCTGATGTCCCAGCTCGGCCCTCCTCCAATGAGGACCAGGCCTAGACCGACGCCCAGGGAGCTGGAATCGGGCCGCGGGGTCAGAGTCCAGACCGGGGGAGGCGCTTCCCCCGATGTGCTCCCTTTGGTCGGAGGATACATGGACGTTTTTCCGGGGGCCTCCTGCGGACCTCCTCCCTCCTTCCCTCCCTCCCTCCCTTCTAAGGTCAGGGCCTGGCGTCGTTAAGCGGTTTTTGGAGCGGTTCGACTCTTTCGGCGAGCTGGAGAAGGAGCTCCGCAAGGACGGCGCCGACCTCCCAGAGATATTCGACGTCGTGGACATGAAGACCGAGAACGCTAAGACAGGGGTGATCGACCAACACCGATGGATGAGGTATGGGTGCTTCACCCAGCAGAAGGAGCCAAGGGGGGAAGAGCCACTCCGAACCCCACTACTGGTGTTCATTCAACTTCTCTGCGCGTTTGCGAAGCATCCCCGTCCCAGCCGATGCCTTCTTTTGCTGAAGGACCTCGGTTGTACCGGGTGCTCGTTGGGCGGGTGACTCTTCCCCCCCTCTGAGGAGATCGTGGGTCTGGTGGAGTCGTGCAAGTGCGTCCCCATGGCGGCCCTGGCGATGCCCCTCGGGCACAAGACCGAGGGGAGCCTCTTCGCCTCGCTGCCGCTCCCCCTTACCACGAGGCTCCCCATCCACGTGAACGGGTGGTTCCGGCTGCACGACAACCGCCGAGGCATCTGGCGCCTGCGGTCCGACCTGGACGGAGAGCACCGGCTGTGGGGGCAGTGGAATGACCTCATCCTGACGTCGTTCGTGCCCAAGCTCTACTCGCAGGCGCTGCAGTGCCTGGCCGAGCTGAAGGACGTGTCGAATGACTACGGGCACTCGTGCTGGCCGACGGACGGCACCGTCGAGAAGGAGTTCGTGGGAATGATCAACCCCCTGGTGGCAAACTTGAAGGACATGGCAGTGCTCCCGTCGGCGCCCACGGGCAAGCTCGTGAAGCCCGGGACGGCGACCTACTTCCCGACCCCGTCGCCGGCTCTGCAGGCGTGCAGGGCTCGCCTCCTCGAGCTCTGCGCCGAGGCTGGCTGGGTGGTCGTGGATCCTCCCGAGCACGTCGTCAACCTTCTGCACAGCCGGAAGGCCTTGTCGAGGAAGACGTGCACCGAGGTGTTCCTGGAGGTGGTGCTCCCCGCCGCACCGAGGCTGCCAGAGCAGGAGCTGGCCACGCTCCTCCTGGCCTTCCTGGAGTGGGCTGGCTCGTGGAAGGAGGCCGAGGTGAGGGACTTTGCAAAGAAGATGGTGCCAGTCAGATGGGTGCCCAGCGAGGACGGTGCAGTGCGAACGGTGGCTGACTCATTCGACCCGGCGCACAGTCCCGAGGCGCTGCGTGTTGTGAGGGAAAGGCGGGCCAAGATTGGCGCGCTGATAGACGCTGGTAAGCTGAAGGCCGAGACGGTGTGGCATGTCCTTGGCCTCTGCGGTATGAAGAAGGAGATCACATGGGAGGACGCGGTGGACGAGGCTGGCACAATTGTGCAGGACGGCAGCGTGGAAAGGTCTCGGTTGCTCTTCGAGCGGCTGAACCAGCAGCACTCCAAGCTGCTCGGCTCCAGAGCGGCCTGCCTCAGCAAGCTGAAGGAGATTCCGTGGGCGCCGGTCGTGGAGGCCAATCCTGCATCGGAGCCGAAGCAGCCGAGCAAGCTGCTGGCCCTCAAGGAGGTCTTCCCCGAGGCCGCCCGCAAGCTCGTCTGGGCCGTGGCGCCCTCGCTGTGCCTCGTCTCCGCCGTCGACGAGCTGCGACCTGGGCGGAAGGTGGAGGATGAGCCGGACGTGCTGGTAGACCAGGTGCGCGCGCTCGCCGACGGCGTCGCGAGCAACGGTAAGGGAACTCCGGCGTACGCTCCCGCCGAAACCCTGGAGCACCTGAAGGTGGTGTTCGGGGCGCTGCTGGGCCTGCTGTCCAAGCTGAAGAACTTCAAGGAGCACCCGAAGCTGAAGGGTGTTGCCTTCGTGCCGTGCCAGACCACCGACGAGTCCGACAAGGGCGCCTGGCTCTTTGCCTCCGAGAGTGCTGCTTTCCAGGCGCACCGCAAGGGCTCCGAGCTGAGCCCTGTGATCGGGCTGGTGAAGCAGGCCGACCAGACGATCAAGATGATTGCGGAGGCGGCGGGCGTTGCCAAGGAGCCGCGCTCGGAGATGCTGATGCAGGCCCTGGCCAAGTCGGGCGCCGCCGCTCCAGGGCTGGAGCTGGCCGTGGCGCTGGCGTCCGAGCTAGCCGCGCGCACAAAGGCGCAGGGCAAGAAGCTGGAGCATGCCATGGTGCCCACCGTGAAGGGCACCATCGAGAGCATGAAGCACGTGTTCATCAACGACGCTCCCTGGTGGCATCAGCGCGGCGTGGTGACCCTGCACCCTGGCGTCACCGCGGAGGAGGGCAGCATCCTGGGCTGCACCTCGCTGCGGGAGGAGATGGCCCGCAGGTGCGAGGGCAAGGACGCCGCGCCGGCGCCCTCCAAGGAGGAGGCCACGAATGAGGCGGAGGGAGTGAGCAAGCTGAGGAAGCTCCTGCAGGAGTTCGGGGACGGCGCCAACATCATCTCGGAGTTCGTGCAGAACTGCGACGGCGCAGGCGCGGGCTCCGTGGCCTTCTTCCTCATGGAGGAGGCCTTCCCCGGGGAGAAGATCCTGGACCCGCGGGCGTCGCCGCTGCAAGGCGCGGCGCTCTACGTCTGCTCCGACAAGGCCCTCTCGGCGGAAGACGTCAAGAAGATGCAGGCCATGGGCCACCTGCGCGAGGACGCGAGGCCAGGGTGCCTCCAGGGCGACTTCGGGGTCGGCCTCAGTTTCATGTACCGTTACTCGGACTGCCCGCAGCTGCTGTCTGGCAAGAGGGTGCACTTTTTCGACCTCTCTCGCGGCTTCGCGGCTCGGCCGGGCATGGCGTGGGGGCGGCACTTCTCCCAGGAGCAGCTCAAGGAGGACTTCCCAGACAGCTACGCCCCGTTCGAGGCTAAGCTCGTCGCGGGGAAGTTTCCAACGGTCTTCCGCCTGGCGCTCCGCACGAAGCGGAGCGACCTCGGCCTGAATCTCGAGCTGTCCACGGTGCGAGAGGAGCTCAGGAAGGCGGCCGCCAGCGGGGACAAGACGCTGCTCTTCACTCGCAGCGTTAGGCGGTTGGAGTTCCGCGATGGCGACGCGCTGGTTGCAGCCCACGAGAAGTCCACGAAGGATTCCAAGGGCTACGCGGCATTCTGCTCGGGTCTCCGCGCCCCAGTGTCCGATCTGAAGTCTGGCGAATTTGTCCAGCACCTCGCGCACAAGACCGTGAAGACGCAGCTGCCCGAGACAGCGGCTTCAGCGGAGTGGGTAGTGATCCACCGCATGGGTGTGAAGGACGACGCGATGAAGGGAGTCGTGAAGGAGTTAGCTGGAAAGGGTGGGAGAGGCGCGCTGCCGCACGCTGCTGCGGCATTCCGAGTCAGCCCCGTGGAGGAAGACCTGCAGGGTGGCAAGGTGTGTTGTGGCTCACCGCTGCCCCTCGGCTGCAACGCGTCTGCGTGGGTAAGCGCGGGGTTCGCGCTGCCGCCATCCCGCAAGACGCTGCCGCTGCCAGAGCCCAAGGACAGCAAGCCATCGCCGGACCAGCGGTGGAACAAGATGTTGCTGGAGGGTCCCGTGGCCGAGAGCATCCAGGGGCTGGTGACGCACTGCACCGAGGGCTTCTTGAGCAAGAGCCTGAGCTCCCAGGGCTACTTCTCTCTTTTCCCCAAGCCTGGTGACCTCCTGCAGTCCATACTGTCGTCGGCCACTGTGAGCCTGGACTGGATCGCGTCCACGCTGGTCAACCCAGAGACATCGCAGCTGAGCTCGGAGCACCTGGCCAGCCTGACCTTGGGGCTGCTGGAGTGGGCCGGGTCCTGGAAGGAGTCGGAGGTGAAGGAGCTGAGCCAGAAGCTGGCCTCCACGAAGTGGTTGCCGACAGAAGATGGCTCCCTGCGCACGATCTGCGACGTGTTTGACCCAGCGATTCCCGTGAAGGCTTTCCGCATCGTGAAGGATAAGTTGGCGAAGATCGACGGTCTGATTGAAAACATGAAGCTCGATGCCCCGACGGTGTGGCGGGTCCTGAGACTGTGCGGCATCAAGCAGGACATCACCTGGGAGGACGCTGTGGACGAGGCCGAGATCATTGCCGCCGAGAGCGACCTGGATGCAGCCAAAGGCTTCCTCGCGCACCTGAACAAGTGCCACTCCAGCATGAAGGGCTCCCGCGCGGACGCGTTGCGCAAGCTCCAGGGCCTGGCCTGGGCGCCCGCGATGCAGCCGTGCAGCGGCCAGGAGCCCAAGGACAGCCTGAAGCTGACGCTGCTCAAGGACTCAAAGGAAAAACAGCACGCATGTACAGTTTCGGAGGGCCGCGCGGATTGCTGGGATCGGCGCTGGACCCCCCTGGCGGCCCCTCCGGCGCCGCCCCTGGCGCGCTCCGCAAGTCAGGGAGGGGAGCCCAGCGCAGATCCAAGAAATCCACGCGGACCTTCGACACTTTATCATGCTATGCTTTCTCCTCCCAAGGACGTTTACCCGCAGTCCGCGCGCAAGCTGACGTGGGCCGTCGCCCCTGCCCTGTGCATGGAGTCTGCCGTGAGCGAGTTGAAGCCTGGCCTGTCAGTGGATGCCAACGCCGAGGTGTCGGGGGTGTCCCAGAGGAGGGGTTGGAGACCTCCTCGGGGCGCGTGGAGAAACATCATGGCGGGGGCCGTGAGATCCCCCACACTTGGTGACAGCCTCTCCTTCTGTCAGTGCGTCCCCTGGCCTCACCCCCCCGTCTGCCGCGCACATGCCTCGGGCCATGGTGTGCCCCCCCCCCCCGCTATTCCTGCCCCCCCCCCCCTTTGGAGTGTATCCGAAGGTTCTGGTGGACCAGATCCGGGCGCTCGCCGGCTCTGTGGAGTCGACCCCGGGAGCGCCGCCTCTGGCGACCGCGGCCCTGGTGGAGCACCTGCGCACCGCCTTCGGCGCGCTGCTGCCGCTGCTGCCCAAGCTGTCGAAGCCGCTGGCCGAGCACCCCAAGCTGTCGGACGTCGCCTTCGTGCCCTGCTTCCCGCTCGAGGAGGACGACGGCTGCGCGGCACTCTTCGTGCCAGGCCGGGCCGCCTTCCAGGCGCAGCACGCCCACCGCGCCCTCTACCCCGTGGTCGGCATCGTGAAGCCCGCAGACTCGACCCAGAAGATGATCGCCGAGGCCGCTGGGGTCGCGAAGGAGCCCAGGGCCCCCGCGCTCGCAGAGGCGCTGCGAGGCGCGCCCAAGGGCGACCTCGGAGTGGCCCTCGCCATCGAGCTGGCCGCCCGCATTCGCGCGAAGGAGGAGACGCCGGACAACATCATGGTCCCCACCGCAGGGGGCACCATCCAGCCGGTCAACGAGGTGTTCATCGACGACGCACCCTGGAAGCACCGCGCCAGTCGCATCACGACGCTGAACGCGCGCATCAGCGCGGAGGACGGCGCCATCCTGGGCTGCACCTCGCTGAGGGACGAGATGGCGCGTCAGGCCGAAGACGAGGAGGGCGCCACGGAGGCCGACAAGGCTGCGCAGGAGGAGGACGGCTTCGGCCAGGAGGCGGACCTCGTTGCCCAGGTCAAGCAGCTGCTGCAGGAGTACGGGGACCACGCCGACCTGGTGCAGGAGTTCGTCCAGAACACCGACGACGCGGGGGCGAGGGAGATGGCGTTCTTCCTCGACGAGAGCGAGTTCGGCAAGGAGACCATCGTGGACTCGCGGGCGGCGGAGCTGCAGGGGCCCGCGCTGTACATCGGGTCGGACAAGCCCCTCACCGCCTACGACATCGGGCGGATGCAGTGCGTGGGCAACTCTGCGAAGCGCATGGACTGGACCTCCAGCGGCCGCTTCGGCGTCGGGCTGAACGTGATGTACCGCTACTGCGACTGCCCCCAGCTGATGGCCAACGACCGGCTGCACTTCTTCGACCTCACCCGCAGCTTCGTGGCCCACGGCGGAGGCAAGCGCGGCAGGCAGTTCACCGTGCAGAAGCTGCGGGAGAACTTCCCCGACAACCACTCGCCGTTCGAGATCGACATGGCCAAGCGGTTCCCCACGATCTTCCGCATGGCCCTGCGGCCGAAACGCTCCGACCTGGGCGTGAAGATGCCTCTGACGACCATCAGGGAGGAGCTCAAGATGGCTGCAGACCTTGCTGACAAGATGCTGCTGTTTGCGAAGAACCTTCGGAAATTGGAGTTCTGGGATGGCAAGAAACTCATTGCCGCTCACGAGGCCAATCTCCAGGACAGGGAGGGCTACGAGTCCTACATGAAGTCGCTCCCGAAGTCGCCGATCGACCTCAAGCCTGGCGTTTTCAATTCCTACCTAGGGTCGAAGATAATCACTACGGAGCGGTCCGTACAGGTGGCTGAGGGGGACGACGAGGAGAAAGCCGCACCAGCCAAGGTTCGAAGTCAACCAACAGCAGATGGACCAGGTTGCGGAGGTTCTTGCGGACTTTTTGGGTCGGTGCTGGACCCAACAGCTCCGCGCGGACCTCCAGAAGCTCCTGTCCATGCAGCTGCTTGGTTGTCCCAGGTCACTGCCGAGTGGGCCCTCTCCTTCCGCGTCGGGATCACCGACGACAAGATGTTCCGAGTGCTGAAGGAGCAGTTCGAGCAGCCGCACGGCGTGGCCCTGCTGCCGAGCGCCGCGGCGGCCGTGAAGGTGTCGCCGGTGGAGACGGGCAAGCGCGAGGGGCGGATCTGCAGCGGGCTCCCGACCCCGTTCCGGAGCAACAGCTCGGCCTGGATCAACGGGGCCTTCGCGCTGCTCTCCTCCAGGAAGACGCTGCCGCTTCCCGAGGAGAAGGACCAGCGGCCCTCCCTCGACAAGGCCTGGAACAGGATGCTGCTGCAGGGGCCGGCCGCCGAGGCGATGAGGGGGCTCATCTGCCACAGCACCTCTCTGGTGCTGTACCGCGGCTTCACGATAGACCAGTACTTCGAGATCTTCCCCCTGCGCGGCGACAGGCTTCAGTCCATCCTGGCCATCTCCACTCTCAAGGCCGCGGTGAAGGAGGCCATGTTCCCGGTGTCGCGCACGGACAAGGTGTCCTGGGTGGCGGGCCCCGCACCCCTCTTCAAGACCAAGGAGCTCCCGGAGGACGTCCAGGAGGAGCTCATCGCCGACGGCATGAAGCTGGTCTACCTGCCGGACAAGCTTCTCATCGAGTACGAGGAGGCCCTCGGGAGGCCGAAGTCGGTGCTGAAAGCCGAGGACCTCTGCACGTTCCTGAAGGAGACGTGGGCCAAGCTGCACCCCGACAAGGACCCTTCACGGGTCAAGACGGGCGACGCCTTCGACGATTTCACCAAAGAGGATCTGACTTTAGAGGACGGCTCCAAGGAGGTCGACTTCGACAACACTGGGATTGCTTCGCTGGCGACGAAGGAATACGTCACCAAGCTGCTTGCCTTCGCCATGAAGGGCCTGTGGGCGTCTCAGTGCAAGGCGGAGAAGGAGAAGAAGGATCCCGAGACCAAGTTTGCCGTCAGGGCCCTGGTGGGGGTGCCGCTTCTCCTGACGCACCAGCAGTGCCTTACCCCGTTTGGCCTGAGCACCAAGTTCAATTCGTGGCGAGACATCCTCCCCGCGAAGAAGGCGGCATGTCTTCTGGGGGTTTTCAAGAATCAGCGGATGGAGAGAAGGATCGGGGGTGAGCAGTGGTGGAGAAGGACATGGAAATAGGGCAGGGAAGGGGAACGGGTGAGGGAAGCGGTGAGGGAAGGGGGGCGGTCGTGGAAGGGGGTCGCGCCCCGCGGAGGCCGCGGGAAAGCCCCATGCGCCCCCCAGAACGTCGAACCTCAGAAGCCCGCGGCTTTGTTCGGTCCCCCCCCCCCCTCCCCCCCCGATCGAGAACCTCTTCATCGACCGCGAGCTGCACATCGCGGCCATGGACGTCGTCGACGTCGGCCTCGCGGGGGCCTCGGACCTCGTGATCGAGACCACGCTGCCGGGCGTGCGGCCCTTCACGCTCAAGGACTCCGCGCCCCCTCGCGGCGTGGGCGCTGGGCGGCGTGACGCCTCCCCCCCTCCGCTCGGCATCGCTCGGGCGTGTGCGTTCTTCTCGGCGAGGCCAGCGCCAGAAGGTCCGGGCCAGCTCGGAGCACCCGGGGCCATCTCGAGGAGCAACACGCACGCACGAAACCAGGCAATGTGCGGGCAGTGGACGTCCGAGCGGTGGCAGGTTCGAGGGTCAGGGATCGAGGGCTGAGGGTCTTGGGCGGTTCTGCTTCTGTTGGGTGCTCCTGGGGCGCCCTGTCCACAACCGGTGGATGCCCCCTCGAAACCTGGTCAAAACGTACCCATGGAGAGGTCCGAGGATGGGATCTGACGCAGGCATCTGCCGGCTCGAGGAAAAGCAAGACGGTAGCTGTTTCGTCATTGTGAGCCCTTGGAGGCACGGTGCCGGCCCCCGGGCCGTCAACGATCGACCTGGGATAGGAAGCCAGCCTGGGGCGAGGGGGTCGAGAGAGCCAGTGGTGCATGTCCCGTAGCATGTTAGCCAGTGTGGACCCCAAGCAGTATGTTTCTAGCACTAGGTTGCGCAATCTATGTGGTGCAATCGATACGGCACAATCTACGCGTGCAGTCTACGTGGTGCAAGCTATGTGGTGCGATCTATCTGGAGCAGTCTGTGTGGTGCATTCTAGATTGTGCAGTCTATGCGATGCAATCGATGTGGAGCGATGTTCAATCAATGTGGTGCAACCAATGCGGTGCAATCTTTTTGGCGAAAAGCAATGTCAAGCAATGAAATGCAACGCAATTGAAAATCAGTCCGATTACCATGCAACACGATGCAACGCAAGCAATGCAACGCGTTGCAAATCGCTGCAAGGCATTGCAAAGCAACGAAAACCAATGGCCCACACTGCATACGAAGGCAACGCAATTTTAAACACGGCAGAATAATGCGAAACAGCGCAAACAATGCAATGCAACGCAAAGCGCTCCATAATGTCAGCTTGTGATTAACAAATGGCCAGACCCCTCCCCCTGGGCTGATGAATAGACCCCGCGGGGCGCGATACTTGTTGAACATCACGCGCGCCAGGGGGGAGGAGGAGAGAGGAGGGGGAGGGAGGAAAAGGAGGAAAAGCCGGAGGACGAGGAAGAGGAGGAGGAGAGGGAGGAGGAGGAGGAGGAGGAGGAGGAGGAGGAGGAGGAGGAGGAGGAGGAGGAGGAGGAGGAGGGGGAGGAGGAGGGGGAGGAGGAGGAGGAGGAGGAGGAGGAGGAGGAGGAGGAGGAGGCCCGAGCGACGAAGAGAGCGGCCGCTGGAAACGGGCGCAGGCAGGGCGGGGGACGGCGGCGACGACGGCAACAGAGGGGAGGGAGGAGGACTACCCCCCTTGCTCGGTTCGGGCGAAAAGCTGGGGAAGGAAAGGGGGGGGTGCGAAGCCTGCTGCGCGCAGCTGGTTTCGGTCGCCCCGCCGAATGGCAAGTCCTCGACGCACGGCCGCTTTCGGCGCCAGGAGGTGCTTGGAAAATCGGCGACGTGAGCTGCTTGGCAAATCCCCCCTTTGCTGCGCCCCACTTTCGTCCAGCCCGCTTTGCCCGCAGGACCGCATCGGTTCGACAGAGAAAAGGGCGCCCTGGCTCACATTTGCCTCCCGCCCCCCCCCCCCCCTGCCTTTCGTTGGCGGCCGGGCGTCGGCGCTAATCACCAGCGCCGCCCCGTTGATTTTCAATCCGGCGGGCGCCACCCCGCGATTCGCCCGAGCAGGGGAATTATTTGTTCTCAACACGCGGCCCCCACGGATTTGTTAACCACAAGCTGACATTAACAACGCAAAGGGATGCGAAACAATGCCGGCCCAGACGACAGGCGGCTACGAGGCGGCAGGTGGGCGGCCAAGGGGCGACGACGGTGACAACGTAGCCGCCAGACCGACCCGCGTGCCCAGACGACGGGCGGCGACGAGGCGGAGACGAGGCGGCGACGGCGACAACATAGCTGCCAGACCGACCCGCAGGCCCAGACGACGGGCGGCGACGAGGCGGCGACGGCGACAACATAGCCGCCAGACCGACCCGCAGGCCCAGTTCCCTTAGACGAACAAGCAGGAACCCCTTAGGTGCAAGCACTGTTTGGGGGAAGTTGATCCCCACCTCCCGCTCCCCCTTCCCATCTCCGGCCCTCGACCCCTCCCTCCTTCCCTTCCCGTTCCCGTTCCCATCACCTCCCGCTCCCAGCTCCCCCTCCCGCTCCCTTCTTCCTCTCCTCCCTTCGCCCTCTTCTCCCTTCGCCCTCTCCTCCCCTCCTCTCCCCTCCCCTCCTCTCCCCTCCCCTCCTGTCCCCTCCCCCCCTTGCAGAAGTGGAACAGATTAGTCTGAGCATTCGTGAACCCGACGCGGACCACACAATCAAACAATAATGATGATTCAGACAGCTCGGTTGTTTTTAGTGCTGACGGATTGGGCTGGCGTAGCGCTTTTTGAGCACCCACTGCTGCTGGCAACACCGCACCCCATCCCCGCCCACCCAGCCTCCACTCCGCCCCCCTCTCCGGAGGAGGAGTAGGAGTAGGAGTAGGAGTAGGAGTCAAGCTAGCCAGCTCGAGCGAGTCAAGCATGACATGCCCAGTCCCGCCCGCCCTCCCACAACATAAGAAGCAAAGCTGGCACAACTGGGGGCCGAAGTCACACCGGCCAGCCGGTTTGGTACAGCTGATGCGGCCGCGATGGCGGTTGCCGACGGGAACTGGCGAGCGCGTGTTGAATGCCGCGCACGCATTGCCAGACGAGTCGAGAATGGCCCGGTACACCGCAGGAAGCCAGAGGTGGCCGGAGGAAGCCCGACGGTCTGACAGGACACCCCAAAGCATTTTTGTGAAAAAGCATTGGGTTTTTGATGTTTTTATGTTGAAATGCTTGCAAACACACGGTGTTCGGTAGGATTCTGACATGAACGCGCGAGTGTGCTCTTTGTAGTATTTTTTGCACAGGATTCGCGGCCTGGGTGCATGACAGAGCATCGCGAGTGCACCGCGCGATGATGTGAAATCGCTGGATTTGACCGAATTCTTAAGATTCCTATGGTTTTCCTATGATTTCAGCAAGAGAGCCCGGGCGGGAAATTTGTACATTTTTTTGTGAAAAAACATTGGGTTTTTGATGTTTTTATGTTGAAATGCTTGCAAACACACGGTGTTCGGTAGGATTCTGACATGAACGCGCGCGTGTGCTCTTTGTTGTATTTTTTGCAATGGATTATCGCCGTGGACGACAGGACGTCCATGTCGAGAGGAAAAAATAAGAAAAATGTTGATTTTGTATTGTTTTTTTACAGGTTAGGATGGGACCACCCGGATGCGGCCCCTAATGGCCGGCCTGAGGGGGGAGTAGGAGTATATTCTAATAAGGAATAGGATAGGAGTCAAGCTAGCCAGCTCGAGCGAGTCAAGCATGGCATGCCCAGTCCCACCCGCCCTCCCACAACATAAGAAGCAAAGCTGGCACAACTGGGGGCCGAAGTCACACCGGCCAGCCGGTTTGGTACAGCTGATGCGGCCGCGATGGCGGTTGCCGACGGGAACTGGCGAGCGCGTGTTGAATGCCGCGCACGCATTGCCAGACGAGTCGAGAATGGCCCGGTACACCGCAGGAAGCCAGAGGTGGCCGGAGGAAGCCCGACGGTCTGACAGGACACCCCAAGGGGGCCCAGGAGGCCCCAAGAGGCAGGAGTAGTAGTACCAGTGGTAGTGGTGTTGGTAGTGGTAGTGGTAGTAGTAGTACCATGTCACCCCTTCGCGCGGGGTGTGCGCCGCGTCCCATTCCTGCCACGCATTTTGCGACGTGACGACAGCACGACCATGTTGACAAGAAAAACAAAACTGTGTATTGTCTTTTGCAGATTAGAATGGGACGGATTGGATGGGCGGGCGCGGGGTGTGCGCCGCGTCCCATTCCTGCCATGCATTTTGCGACGTGGACGACAGGACGTCCATGCGACGGTGCCAATGACGGCGACGACTCTAGAAGGATTTGAGCATGCGCTCGCGGCGACGCGCGCGCATGTCGCCCGCGTGGTATTTTTTGCACAGGATTCGCGGCCTGGGTGCATGACAGAGCATCGCGAGTGCACCGCGCGATGACGTGAAATCGCTGGATTTGACAGAATTCTTAAGATTCCTATGGTTTTCCTATGATTTCAGCAAGAGAGCCCGGGCGGGAAATTTGTACAATTTTTGTGAAAAAAGCATTGGGTTTTTGATGTTTTTATGTTGAAATGCTTGCAAACACACGGTGTTCGGTAGGATTCTGACATGAACGCGCGCGTGTGCTCTTTGTTGTGTTTTTTGCAATGGATTATCGCCGTGGACGACAGGACGTCCATGTCGAGAGGAAAAAATAAGAAAAATGTTGATTTTGTATTGTTTTTTACAGGTTAGGATGGGACCACCCGGATGTGGCCCCTATCGGCCGGCCTGAGGGGGGAGTAGGAGTATATTCAATAAGGAATAAGGATAGGAGTAGGAGTAGGAGTAGGAGTCAAGCTAGCCAGCTCGAGCGAGTCAAGCATGGCATGCCCAGTCCCACCCGCCCTCCCACAACATAAGAAGCAAAGCTGGCACAACTGGGGGCCGAAGTCACACCGGCCAGCCGGTTTGGTACAGCTGATGCGGCCGCGATGGCGGTTGCCGACGGGAACTGGCGAGCGCGTGTTGAATGCCGCGCACGCATTGCCAGACGAGTCGAGAATGGCCCGGTACACCGCAGGAAGCCAGAGGTGGCCGGAGGAAGCCCGACGGTCTGACAGGACACCCCAAAGCATTTTTGTGAAAAAGCATTGGGTTTTTGATGTTTTTATGTTGAAATGCTTGCAAACACACGGTGTTCGGTAGGATTCTGACATGAACGCGCGAGTGTGCTCTTTGTGGTATTTTTTGCACAGGATTCGCGGCCTGGGTGCATGACAGAGCATCGCGAGTGCACCGCGCGATGACGTGAAATCGCTGGATTTGACCGAATTCTTAAGATTCCATGGTTTTCCTATGATTTCAGCAAGAGAGCCCGGGCGGGAAATTTGTATAATTTTTGTGAAAAAAAAGCATTGGGTTTTTGATGTTTTTATGTTGAAATGCTTGCAAACACACGGTGTTCGGTAGGATTCTGACATGAACGCGCGCGTGTGCTCTTTGTGGTATTTTTTGCAATGGATTATCGCCGTGGACGACAGGACGTCCATGTCGAGAGGAAAAAATAAGAAAAATGTTGATTTTGTATTGTTTTTTACAGGTTAGGATGGGACCACCCGGATGCGGCCCCTAATGGCCGGCCTGAGGGGGGAGTAGGAGTATATTCTAATAAGGAATAAGGATAGGAGTAGGAGTAGGAGGAGGAGGAGGAGGAGGAGGAGGAGGAGGAGGAGGAGGAGGAGAGGAGGAGGAGGAGGAGGAGGAGGAGGAGGAGGAGGAGGAGGAGGAGGAGAGGAGGAGGAGGAGGAGGAGGAGGAGGGAGTAGGAGGAGGACAGGAGGAGGAGTAGGAGGAGGACAGGAGGAGGAGGAGAAGGAGGAGAAGGAGGAGGAGGAGGAGGAGGAAGAGGAGGCATAGGTAGTCTGAGGTGGTCGCGGGCCCACAGCACGGGCAGCTCGTGCCTCCGAGAGCGGGCCCCCGATCGAAGAGGCTGCCCTCCCCGCGCCGCTCTGGAGGCCAGCCCCCGGTGCTGTGGAAGGCGAGCCCCTCTGCTGGCCTCTGAGGTTGTTTCTTCTCTTCTCAATCCCAGTGGCGGCGCTCACCAGGGGGGTGCGGCGAGGGACCCGGCTTCCCAAGAGCCCAGACATCCGACGCCGCGATTTCTTCGCGACGTGCATTGCGTAGATTGCACCACTCAGATTGCATCGCACAGCTTACACCACACAGCTCGCACCACCACACAAATTGCACCACATAGCTCACACCACATAGCTAGGAGGGGGGCTGGGTCGTTTTAGGTTCACGTGACGGTGCTTAATTTGCCAAGGGGTCGATAATTAAGAATCGATCTCCTAGTCATGGGCATTTCAATGAGGTCGGTCCTCACGGCGAGCAGCGCGAAGGAATCAAGAGACGCCATCTTCTGGCTGGCGCCCTGGCGGTGGGTGAGTCCCTGTGGCGAGCGGCGCCTAGGAATCGCCATCTCTGGGTTGGGGCCAAGGGCTGGGGCCCTGGGGGCGGGTGGGTTGCGCCGCAGGAGGGCCAGCATGACACAAGACGCGTTCTGTACTGGATCCGCTTATGAGCACGACGCCACAATGCCCGTATTTGGCATCGAGTTGTACCTGAAGGAAACGCAGGGTCCCCCAAAGGACCATAAGCCACGGCACCCGCCACATGCTGCTCAGGCACCGCCGCAATTGGCATTGACGCCCGAGCTGGAGTTCCGGCTGAAACTGACACCCCAACCGCCACTCTCATGGAGGAAAGAGCCGGAGCCACAACCGCCTCCGCTGCGTAATGATCCTGGGGAGGGTGTGCACTCCCGCCCCCCCCACAAACCTGATGGCTCAGAGGATGGCCGACCCGAGCAAAATCAAGAAAACTCAAGCACCGCAGCACTCGACCATATCTCTCCAGCGGCACTACCAGGGGCACCCCGAATGGGGTTGGGGTTGGCCACGTCTATTGTCTTCACCCCTTCAAACACACATCCGGGAGGCGAAAAATAACCTGGCGGGGGAGTGGACCGCGGCGAGAATAGTGACCGGGGGAGGAGAAGAGCGGGGAGGGGGAGGAGGAGAGGATAGGAGGAGGAGGGAGAGAGGGAGACCGGAGGAGCATAGACCCGCCACCGCCTACCACGAGCGGCCAAGTCCGTAGACAGGAGGTCTGTGCACCTTGCTCGTCACAGCACAGCTCTTGGCACGGCATCGTCACTCAGCGCTGCCACTGTCTATTCCCCAAGTTGGGCAGTTCTACGTGCTTTTCCTGCATGCTTTTCCGAGTTCGTGGGTCGATCATGGGCCAGCGCCCCCACCAGACGGCGCCAGCCATACACCTGCATTGCCACCGATCCTGGCAATGCCAATCCAGGGCCCAGGATCAGCGTGTCCCCGGAGGCCTCCTGGAGGCCCGACAGAGGCTAAGAGCGCCGACTCTCAAACTTCGATCCTCGAATTTGTCGCGGCAGGCAGAGAAACGGAGCGTCCAGGCGGCCGCGCGCGCGCCTGCCGAGAGGATTTGTTGCCGTTCCGCGACGCCGTGGAGGCGTCCTTCGACGCCTCGAGCGGCTTCATGGACCCCCCCCCTGGGCGGCCGCGGCGGGGCGACCTGAGGCCAGGGGTGTCGAGCCGTGCCGGCGGATGTCGGGCACGGTCTCAGGCCTCCAGCGTGTTGGAAAGTCGGGGCGGAAGTTTTTCGGTCACTCCTGCCCCTCCTCCTCCTCCTCCTCGCTCTTCGCCCCTCGCTCCTGGCTCCTCCTCCTCCTCCTCCTCCTCCTCCTCCTCCTCCTCGCTCCTCCTCGCTCCTCCTCGCTCCTCCTCCTCCTCCTCCTCCTCCTCGGGGGCTGCTCTCTGGCCGCGCGGCGGCAGCAAACAAGGCCTGGGATGAAAATCCGGGCCTGTGGCTTGTGCCAGCACAGACCCACGCAGGCAATCTTCGGCGTGATTGGGGCCTGTCTTGGGCCTTCAGGGGGGCGGCCCTCTTGGAGGGTCGGGAGGTCTGGAGGCCCACATGCCAAAAAGATCGAGCCGCCAGATGTCCTGGGGGTTGGTGGAGGATCAGGACGACCAGCCTAATTACCGAGGCCACGAGGGCACGCAGGGGTGACGGTAAGCGACGAGGATGCATGTGGCAACCGGCCTCCGATCATGCACCAGGGAATTCCGTATACTCTCGGAGAGAAGTGAGCACCTCTATTGAGAAGGCCTTGCGGCCGGTGCCGCCGACCCTGAAGACGACGACGATGACGACGAGGACAAGGAGGAGGAAGGGGGGGGAGGGGGCGGCAGCAGGAGAAGGTAGGAGAAGGAGGAGCTGGTGGGGCAGGGGGAGGCCCAGGAACAAAACCGCATACACGTTGTTCATTTCCAATTCTTCGAGAGTTCTTTGATTCTTGGGGGGCCAGAACCCTTTCCTTTCTGATTGTTCCATCCTGGGCCTCTTCCTGGCCACCAGGGGGCCAGGAGCAACCAGAAACGAGCACAGTCAGAAGTGAGCGCGCTTGGGAATGAGCGACGTGCACTCTCGGAGGAAGCGCGAGCACGTCGTCTACCTTTCGGACGCTCCGCGGTCGGTCCTTCCGCCGGCGCTGGGCCCGCCGCCCCCTCTCCCCCCGTGCCCCGCGGGGAGCGCGCCGGGGGGGGGGGGGGCGCGCTCCGCCCCCTCTCGGAGTCGCGCGGGGAGGGGCGCCCCGCGCCGGCCGGGGGACCTCCCGCTCGCGCGAGGGAGCCGCCGCTCGCGCGGGCGTCCGGCGGTGTTCGAGCAGGAGGTCGACTGCAGAATCGACATTCGCACCAGACTTGGTGTCGTTCGTCGAATCTACACACACATATATATATATATATATATATATATATATATATATATATATATGAGCGTGTGTGGAGAATTCCCCGTAGATCTACGAAGATCTTTCCCAACCGTCCTGTGGTGTTGGGTTCTCGTTTTGCACCCCTCTCGAGAGGTCGTGGATGCGGTGGGTCCACCCCTGCGTTGCGGAGGGCAGAGGCACACAGCTCCCCGACTTGTGGCCGGTCGGGCAGAGCTCACAGCAGCCAGTTGAGGGCCCGCGGGTCCGGGAAGTCTGCGGCAGGCACTGAGCGCTTCGGGAGTAGGAAGACGAGGAGGAGATAGAACGCTGATTGTTTCCCCCCGTGGCCTGATGCCAACACTAGGACGGGCCCAACGAGTCACTGCGCCAGTTCTGGTCGCTAGTGGCGGACACCTTCGCGCAGAGCCTTCAGGTCATCCACCCTCCTCCGCCTCCGCCGCATCCTGCAGCAGCGCGTCGTTGTGGTCATCGCCGTGATCCTCCTGATTTTCCTCATTTCTGCGTGTGCTCATTCTAAGTGCTGCTCTCCTCTCTCCCCCGGCGACTCGTTGTCACACATCCGTCCCAGAGGGGCACTGTTTTCACACGCAGGACTTCAACGTGTCTGGTCCTTCGGAATGGCGCTCTCCGCTCGGCGCCTGAAATGAACATCTACATACATATGAACTTTCTGAGGTCCGCGCAGATTTCTTGGATCGGCGCTGGGCCCCCCCCTCGGGCCCGCAAAACGCGGCAGGAGCGGCGCTGGAGGCCGATCCAAGGGATCCGCGCGGACCTCAGAGAGGTCAGGTTTATGCTGTGTTTTGTGTGTCCTTCTGTCTTCCGCGCTTCTCCTGCCACACTCGATGCGTGTCGCCTGCTTGTCGCCCCGTCGCTGCGCTTCGCCCTGGTAGGGTCGCGTCCACCGCGTCAGGGCGCCGGGCATCTGCTCGTGCTCGTCGTCGTCGTCGTCGTCGTCGTAGTTGTTCCTGTCGTTCCCGTCCTCCCCGTCCTCGTTCCCTCCTTGCCCTCCATACGTGCCTTCCTTCGCCTCCTCCCCTGCCTCCCCCTCCTCCCCCTTCTCCCCCTCCTCCCCGTCAGGCGCGGGGGCTGGCTATAGGCGAGTGGGAAGGATGCTGGAACTCCCCAACGCTCGTGCTCGTGCTCGTGCTCATGCTCCTCTTTCTCCACCTCCTCCTCAATCCTCCATTCTCCCTCCCGTGTTAATCGCCTTCCCGCTCATCTTTTATCCTCATCCAGATCTTGCCCATTCCTCCTCCTCCTCAGCCTCGTCCCCCCCGCTCGTCCTCCTCCTCCCCCACGCCTGTCTTGTTTCGGTGCGGCTCTGTTCGATTTTGTGCTCCTTCCCCCCGCCAAGCAGTCCCCCGTTCTCCACGCTCGCTGCCCGGCCCGATCTTGTCCCGCCCACTTCTCTGCAACAGACGACGGAGCAGGCACTACAACTGCTTACGGTCGGTTCGAGTCGTGTCGACCAGCGGCGACCCCTCCGCCAGTGTTCAACGTTGAACGCCGCTGGCGACCCAGAGTCAGTCGAGGTTGAACGATCTGACGCTTCGGAAACGGCCGATCGTTCAAGGTCGAAGGATCCCCGCGGTGTCAGGAACCAACGCCCTGGTCGACACGACATGAACCAGCCGTATCCCGGGGTGAATGCCTGTCCTGGCACCCGATTGTGAGAGGAGGAAAAGGTATCGATATCGCTACGTACCCTTTACCCTTCCCTCGCTTTCGCCTTTGGGGCCGCCTGGGAGGCCCTCGTCGCCACAGCGTGATTCGCCTTGACATTCTGGTCAAAACGCACTCTGGGAGAGGTCCAGGGATTTGCGGTATCGTTTTTTTTTTTGTGGTTTCCTAACGATAGAGATTTAATGCAATCCCCCCCACAGGATGTCACTTTCAGCGTCGTCTCTGCTGAACTTGTGGCCACATTCCATTGGAGTGTTGGCCACATGCCAGTAGACGTGCTGTGCTGTGCTGCTTCGTTTAATTTGGCGCTCTCGCTCCAGCGCGGACAACATTCCTGGATCCGATTCCTTCAGCTTCCTGGCAGTAGCGGCAACAATCCTTTTCCTGCCTACTTCTCCTGTCTACTCCTCCGTGTTCCCCTACTCTCCATCCTCCTACTGTTCCTCCTGCTCTTCCTTCTCCCCTTTCTCCTCAAGGCCAAGAGTTCCTCTGGGGAACAAACTGATACCGATAGTCCGCGTCCAGATCCGAAGGACACATCTCGACACGATCCTCGCGGCGAGCCGCCTGGCGGTCGCGAGCCCGTTCTTCCACCAGCGCTGGGCGGCGTGGGTCAAACTCCTGGGGCAAGACTGGGGCGGAGGCGGGGCTGTGGGGCGACACGAGCGGCTTCAGCGAGTCCCTGGTTTCACGGTCGGCCAGGCGCAGCGGTGGCAGTGGCCAGAGGGGGCGCCGTCGTCGCGGTGCGATCGCAGCATGTGGTACCGGCGCTGCTCGTGATGTGGATGCTGGCCATCGTCCTCCCCGCCGCCGCGATGGTGCACATCGCGCATGGGCCACGCGGTCTGCCATCGCCGCGGTCGACGACCAGATCGCCGCTGGCGGGGTGGAGTCGCCGAGGAAGGAGGGCTGGCCCCAGATCGCTCGCGACCTCGAGGCCGTGCCGACGTTCGCCCTCCGAGGCGCCCACGGTGGGGATCGTGGTGCTGCTGGGTCTCCTCCTGCGGGTGGCGCGGCCCACCAGCTGCCTGCAGCCGCCACTGTCGGCTCTTAGGCCGCCGCCGCTGCTCTCAGGACAGCCTCTCTCCTCGCGGGTCCGACGCCTGCGACCCCCGGTGGACGAGCAGCCCCCGCCACGCCCAACTACAACACCAGCCTTGGTGCAGGCCCCCCCGAGGCCCTGGTGGCCGCGCTCCGCCGCTCTCGATCGGCAGGGCGAAGCGCTGGGTTCCAATCTCTCCAACGGCATGGGCCGGGTCCAATAGGCATTCCAAGCCCAGGTCGCTAAGGTCAGCCAGCAGGTCCGCGCGCAGGAGACATTGCACGTAGAGCTGAGCCAGGAGGTCGACGACTACAAGGAGGAGATGGCGTATATGCAGCGTGAGGCTGCCGACACGGGGGCGCGGCTTGAGGCCGATGTTGGGCAAATGCGGAAAGTATTCGGTCTCATGGAGGATCCAGGCCTATGCCGCCTCAGCCGGCTCCTGCGTGGACTAGGGACATCGACCGCGCCATCGTAGTCATCGCGTCCACGACTGCGCTCCCGCTGACAGCCCTGGGCGCCGCGCTCCTGCTGGTGGTGGAGGTCGCGGGGCTGGCGGGCAAGTAGATGACCGAGGGGGAGGAGGATGGGCACGACGTTCTCTATGCGCATGGAGAGTTGCGCCAGCCTTGCTCTGCAGCGGGTGCGGAAGGTCTTGGGATGCGTGCGTATTGGCCAGGGCAGGGAGACCCGTAGGAGGGAGCTCACGGCGGAGCCCCCCGCGGGCGGGCGGGTTCCGATCTCGCTCTTTGTCGACAACAACGGGACGCAGGTCGCACTGGGGATCACCGCCAAGCGCCTCCGCAAGCTGGCAGAGCCTGTCCTTGGGCCAGCAGGTCTTCATCGGCCCCGCTCGGCCCCCTCCACGCCGAGGCGTCATCTCCCTCAAGTGGGGGCAGCTCTTCGAGGTCGCGGTCGAGAGCTCGGGCGCCACCCAGCGGCGCAGTGGAGCGAGCGGGCGCTGCAGCACATGGCGCTGGACCGACGGAAGCTCCAGGACGCAATCCAATCAATAGTGGAGCCCGAGATTCAAGAGTGGGTATGTTGGCACATTTGCGCGCCTATGGGCGGTGGGGGTGCGATCAGGATCTGGGCGTGGAATTGCAGGGAGGTCTGTCAGCATCTGGCTCTGGCTCGGACAGCCAGGCGCCGCGTGAGATACTTGAGACAGTTTTGGTGGCAAGGCGTGGCATTTTGGCTCCAGCAAGTTCATGGATCTGTTCGCAGTCTGCGGGACCTGCTCCACAATTTTTGTTCGCTGAGGGCTGGGAGTCTCAAGGGCAGTACATCGCGGCGGCGCAGGCGCGATGCCGGAAACACGGCTGGGTTCAACCAGGTCTCACGGCAGGGAGGGTTGCGATGACGTGGGGGTGGCCTTGACGCTGGGCGTCACGGCGGGCCACCTTATCGAGAGCATCGAGGCGCTCCACCTCCTTTGGAGGGAGCCGCTTGCAACGCGTCTTGACGAAATCTGCACAACGGGGGCGACGTTTATCGCAAAGGTGCGTGATGCAGCGCACGCGGCTTCGGATGTCCATGCCGCAACGCGGGCAGATCGAAGAAAATGAATTCACGCAGTGGCGTGCGAATTCCATGCTTGGCTCTGGAATGCGACTCCAAAGCGCGCTGCGTGCCAAACGCGGCCGAACACAGAGCGCAGCAATGCACAAGAGCTCTGGAATCCTCGATGCCGGCAGGTTAGCGTGGTCACACACAGAATCGCAGTAAAATATTGCATCTACTCGCCTGCTCCACCCTCGCTCATCGAGCATGGCCTCCTGCCAAGTCGGCGGGTGCGTGTCGACAGAAGGCAAGTCCGCGAAAAAGCCTCGAGCCTGCAGAAACGCAGCGTCGTGCTGCAGCGCTCGCACCCAGGGGAGGCATTGCTCCCCCTTGCGGAAATGGAGCAAGCTGATGAGCGTCAGGGGGCGGTTCCGGACAACGCGGCCCGCGTACCGCCATCGCGCAGCGCTGAGCGCGCAGTCGATGGAAGGCATGCTCATCCTCTCTCTCAGCTCCGCGTCGCGATAGTGCGTGTTAGCTGAGAATCTGGGGTCCCCGTGAATGCGGCGAAGACCGCGCATGTACACATGGCTCAACCGTCTGATTTCCTTGGGCTTCACTACGAAGATATGGAGGTTGAAGATCAAACGGCTAACCACCAGGCTCCGAAATAACATAATGCGGAGCGTATCGGCAATGGGCGTAGACCCGTACAACTTCATGGCCAAGGGGGCGTAAGCACCCATAGCGCTCTTGATGTGATGTAAGACGTTGCCCACGTGCATGCCAAGGCTGTCAAGGGTAGAGCTAAGGTGTTTGTACCAAGGCACAATGCGGAGCAGTCCGTCGTGCCCGTACTGTTGTAGCGGTATGCCCAAACTCCCGTCCGGCTGCCGCCATTTATTTGTCGAGCGCGGTAGCGGCTCCAGTCCCCCGGAGACGAAGAACGAACTCGGACTTGCCGGGGCCCCAATTCAGCTCTAGGTGGCAAGATCTGAATACCGAAGTCAGCGTGTCGAGAAAGATGTGGATGCTCGTCATCATGGCGGTCGCCGACGACGCCACGAGGAATATAGCCTCGTCGTCAACAAACGCGACGTCCAGCGCGGCCTGGGAGGCAGGATTGCCGGGAGCGGGGCGACTCCAGAATGCGCCCTCAGGAGTGTGCACGTTTAGCGCAA